GGTGTTAGGATAACCTGTTTGACTAATTCAAAACATTTCAAATCATAGCTGATTTGAAATATTACCATTTCACTATTTAATTTCTCCACGAAAAGCAATCCTGCATGTTAGGCTAAGTTACTTTTCAGAGCTTTTGACTTCACATAAACCAAAACTAGTCTTCATCTACTTCCCGAGAGTATATGAATAAATTGTGATAAAAATGTTGCACATTTAGGATGAAAGACAAAGTATAAAAGTTTACAATGACTTAAATCACAGTATCCAACTTCCTCAGCAGCAAGAGATTTCCTTTGCTTTCTTTCATAAATATTTACTGAGTACTTAGAGACTCTTATCTTTTAGTTATATTATGAAACCTTAGGTCTCTACTTTCTTCTTGAAATTCAGAACTCCAGTAGAAATTTAAAAGTATTTTCCAATAAAAGTCTACCAAGAACTAAACAAAAGATAAAATGAATGTTCCCAAACCCGTTTATGTAGTTAACTGTGTTTATACTGTGCTTGATAATTCCTTATCAGGATAATTTAAATGTTGCCCCATCAAAGAAGTATTGGCCAATATACAACTTGAATATAATGTGTGCTATAAAAAGTTAAATTAAGCTATGTCTCAAGTGTTTCTAATATGTTGCCATAGAGAGATTATGCTATTCATGAATAGATACATTTTACTTAAAACCATATGCTTGTTGCTGGGTCTCCATTTGCAAATAACAAAACCTTATCAAATTTCTGGATGAGGTCTTCAGTAATAAAATATATTAAGATAGTCTCTTTAAATTCAAATTAGAAGTCATAGTCTTTGTATCATATTAAACCACCTGAGATATATAGCAGGATAAGAAATATAAAACTATAAGCTATGCATACACACACACACACACACACACACACACACACACACGTTAAATATCCCTGTTCTGAAATACTAGGAACCAGAAGTGTTCTGGGTTTGGGATTTTTTCTGGATTTTGGGATAGTTGCATATACATAAAGAGATATCCTGGGGGTGTAACCCAAGCCTAAACACAAAATTCATTTGTTTTGGGGCCAAGTAGTGACATAGTGGTTATGGTGCTGAACTCCTATATGATCAACCATGGTTTGAGTCCCAGATCCAGTAGGTTGAAACTCATACCAGGCAGATGTGCATGTGTGCCCAAAATCCCAGAAGAGAATGGAGGAGAAGGGACTGTGGCATGGCCATAACCCCTGGCGGGATGATTAATGCTTTCTGTCTCCCTGTCTCTCTAGCAAGCACATGCGCCCCACAGCAAAAAAATCTCTTAAAAAATTTTTTTAAGTCGAAAAGTTCATTCATGTTTCCTTTACACCTTATTTCTAACACTAAGAGTAACTTTATAAACTACAATATAGTATTACAGTGTTTTGGCTGCAACTACTCACATAAAGTCAGGTGAGGAATTCTACACTTACAGCAGCATGTAGGCCCTCAAAAATTTGGGGATTTTGGAGTATTTCCTATTTCAGATTTTTGAACCAGGAATATTCAACTTATACACAAAATAAAATCTACAAAATAAAATGACATTTTCTAAAGCCATAGACATTTCATGAATTTTTTATAGTGAGCCAAAAAAAATAAGAAGCAGAATTCATGAGCACAAATTATTGTTTTTGTTTTTCTTTCTTTCTTTCTCTCCTTTTTTTTTTTTTTTTTGAGAGATTTTTGCTATAGGGTATATGTGCTCTCCAGAGAGACAGAGAGAAGGAAAGCAAGAAATCACTGCCCTGGGGAGAATGGCCATGCTGCAATCCCTTCTCCTCCATGCTCCTCTCAGAATTTGGGGCATGCACGCACACTCGCCTGGTGTGAGTTTTAGGCCGCTGGCTGCAGGACTTGAACTGTGGTCGGCCATGTGGGAGTTCAGCAACATACCATTAAGTCACTAAGCCATCTAGCCATCTGTGAGTCCCAAGTACAAATATTTTTGTTTATTTTGTCTGTATATTTCTCCAGTGCAGAGGACACAGCAAATATGTAAGAAATATTTGCTGAGTGAAAACTATTACTGCATGTTTACTCTGTGTCCAGCTCTATTAACAATGCTCACCTTTACTAACTCAATTACCACAACTAATTGCATCATAATTAGCACATTATGAATAAAAAGAAGTGTATGTCACAGGCCTTGTGCTCAAGAAATTTTATACATTACCAAAATTGTTAATTTTGAAATTAAGTGAATTTTGAAAAAATAATTGTGCTAAGGCCAGTAGGTGGCATGGTGGTCAATGCACTGGATTCCCACATGGCTGACAGCCATTCCACTCCCAGATCCGACAGCTTGAAAATCACACCAGCAGATGGTGTAATAGTTAAATCACTGGACTCCCACATGGCCAACCAAGGTTCGAGTCCTGGACCCAGCGGCTTCAAACTCATGCTGAGTATATGTGCATGCATGCCCAAAATCCTGAGCGGAGAATGGAGAAGGAATTGCAGTGGGGCCATCCCCCCAAGGGTTGATTTCTTGCTTTCTATCTCTGTCTCTCTCTCTCTCTCCAACAAGCACATGAGCCCTATAGCAAAAATCTCTTAAAAAAAAAAAAGAAAAGAAAATCATGTCAGTCATGAGTACATGCATTCACGGCTAAAGTCCTAAAAGGAGAAATGGAAGAGAAGGGAGTGTGTCATGGTCATCCCATCCCCCCAAGGGGTTGATTTTTCACTTTCTCTCTTTTGGTCTCTTTCTGGCAAGCTCATGTGCCCTATGGCAAAAACCTAAAATAAATAAATATACTTTCCAGATAGTACTTCACAGCATGTTAAATATTTTTACTCCAACACATAAATATGAAGAAAGTTAAAACAATTTACCTGGTTCAGTAAGTAAAGAATCTTCGTAAGAATGTGCAAACATCTTCTTGGATTAATGGGCGTTTCATTGAATATACGAGCCTTCGGAAAACATAAAACATCATGTTACATTTAGCATGTTTTCTGCCTTTGATATCATAGATTGTATCAAATCAACTTTAATAAAATAAAAACCATTTTTAATCACAATATCCAAACACTGCTGGTTGTCTACAGTTCTCGAGTTATTGGGTATTGAAAAATTATTAGGTTGGCCTTGGTTTTCCATTCTATATTTGCTAAATACAGAAGTACTTCAACTTCTTCAACTTAATGGGCTTTATCTGTTCAGTAAGAATCATACTTATCTACATATGAATATAATGACCTTAATATCTATAATTTTTCAATGATTTTGCACTAAGCACCTCTTCTGACATTTCATTTAAAAGTCCCAACACATGCCAGAGCCTGCATGTCTTCGCATTTCTACAAGCTCTAGATATTTTCTAACAAGTAGACTCTCTTCTTTTTTCTATATTCTTCCAACTTCGTTACATTCTTTTAATTCTTATTTTGGATGTCCTGACCATTGTATCCTATGGGAGATTTGTCCACCATTCTTTAAAAAAGAATAGAAACCAAAATGCACAGAACACTTCCAAGCCATACCTCCTGTAAGACAGCACTTTTCTCGAGATGCTGGAAAGGATTGGAACCACTACCTAAATCACAAAACAAAAAAATGTATTTAATAGCTATCCTACACAAACACATTCACTTTCTAGAGTATTGAATGGGAAATCGCACCTAAGTGAGGTTGACCACTTGGGTATCACAGTGATAAGCCTAACTTTTAGACATATAAGCTGAAGGGATCATTTTGACTCGTACTGGCCATGTAGTTGCCACACTGTAAGAGTCTGATCCTGCCCAAAATGAGTGTCTCCTTTCCCTGCCCCTTTTTCCTCGAGTGTTACACATATGTGTCATTTCCACAATGAGCAAGATCAATGAGCTTGTGGTAGGGCACTTCAGATTTCTTCAAAGCAAGAACTGTTTCATGTGTTTCTAACATCTATTGAGAAGCAGAAACGCAGCGTTTCGCGGAAAATCACGTAAAGTTCCAAGAGGGATGCAGGGATGGAGTTTCAAGAACAGAACCCTCACACTATGTGAAAGCTGCTAGCAAACGCCGAGTTTTTGTCTTTTTCAGGTAGCTGGGCATCTTTCCCGGGTGCTCAGGCCCAAAGACGAGAATCAGGACAGTCGATTTCCTAGCATTCAAGGAGCACTGTTCTATGGGACAGCCCTGCCCCCTGGTAACCGGAGCCCAGGAAACACAGGAACACTAAAAGGTATAAGGCACCGCAAAGTTCATACACCCTGCCCGGTTGACCCCAGCCTCGAGAACAGAATGCTCCCACTCCGGGAGCACTGCCCCAGTGCCCTAACCAGCACCCTCCCCCGCTGACCGCGCACGCTCGGTCCCGCGCCTCGGCCAGGGGCCCGATGAAAGGGGCGACAGTGCCAGCAAGAGGAGCGCAGGGGAGGTGGGAGAGGGGAGAAAGGAGACGGAGGGGGCGGGGCCGCCCGAGACTGCGCGTGAGCGCCGAGCGGGAGCGCGCGGCCCTAGGGGAGGCTCTGGGCCCGGGGGAGG